AGTGGATTTATGTAGTCTGTGTTTTCGGCTTTTAAAAACACATGTCCATATCCCACTCGTATAATTTCCCTAATTGTTCGTAATTTTCGTACCGATGAGTATCCTGACAAAAACTCAAAATTCAAGAAGGCCATGAAGGCAATTTTTTTGACAGTCTTATTATCGTAACCTTTTCTCCATCACACTTTCTCGCTTCTTTCTTCACTATATTCTTCAATATTTCTGGAAACAAAGCCAGTTTTTACTCAAAAAATTCAGCTATTTTTGTCCCAATCGATATAAATATAAATGGGTCTATTTTGTGAATTTGAGATGAAAAGAGGGAACTGGTGATGAAAAAGTTAAACCAATGAAATGTTGACGAAGATTCAATGAGATCTAGACATTTTTAAAATATTTCACCTCAAAAGAAAAACTGTAATTCAACATAATGAGTACATAAACAAAGCCATTTATATTTTGATAAACACTTCAAAGCGGAGTAAAAAGGTTTTAATTATCAGGAAAAAGTAACAGTAAACATGCAACCATGTACGAATATGAATATGTAATTGTTTACAAACCTTTTTTGATTTTTTTTTGGGTAGAAATCCCAATCTGTTAGTTTTCTTTGTCTTGACTTCTTTTGACTCGCAATCGTCCACATCACCATATACATCTTCATCTTCACTCAAGTTTTGACCATATACATTTAATTCAACCTGATAACAAAATTATTGTTTGTCAGTTTTGAAGTACTGTAGTGTGGTTGTAACTTTTCACTATTTTTGTAGCTACTGTATACGTATTCATTACCCACTGGTTTTTAATTTCATATTATTATTGTTGATAAATACAACCCTCTAAATTAAATGTACGTGAACATGTAAAATAACAATAGAACAATGTTTTCTTGTCAAATACATTTTTGAAGTTTAAAATCCAGTGAAATTGCTCAAACCATTCTAAAAATTTACAGTACAGCAATTTAACAAATACAAAAAAAGAAAGTTGGAGCTAAATGTATACAGGTTTAATATAAGTGCAATTTTTCTCTAAAATATAAATAAGGAAATACATTGGTTTACCTTCTGCTGTTGTGCCATGGCACGCGACATTGGTGCTATATTGAACATAAAGGCTTCGTAAGAGTGAGAATCATTTTTCTGAACTCTGAAAATAGAAACAATATATTCACAAATTATATAAATTGAAAAACGCTTTACCGTATTTGCTCTATTAGTAGCACCTGTGCTTACATAAATTACAGAAGTACTGCTATTGTCAAAATAAGTAATATTTTAATGATTCAGTATTCAACAAATGGGATATTTAGTTTTGTGCTTCCAATAAAGAAAATACAGCAGATAGTATTGCAATTAGTTTAAAGATTCCATCTTGTCAAACACTTGACTACTAATAATTAATTACCATCAAATCTAATGTCAACAAAAACACTTTTAGTTCTTTTGCCTCATCTCACCAAGATTTATGGATTAGATAATTCCATTGTGAAAAAACATCACCAGAAATTGATAATCAAGCCTCAAAAATATATTATTTTATGCATAACTCATGTCCTGAAAATAATCTGCAAAATCAGTATAGGTGTACGGTTTTTTCTCAAAATTTTTAACTACGACTATATACGTTTTAAGTTTTGTTGTCTTGATATAAGTTTGAGGGTTCTGACATCATTACTCTAAGAATTGTCTACAAACACATAAACTGAGCTATATCTGTGGTTCACAAAATATTTCTTCAATCTTTTGAGTGATAAAATACTCACGCATGTCGTTTCATTAGATTATGCGAGGCGGCTGTTTGCAGTCTCGCATGGGTGTATTCGCCTTCCATTGCCAAGGCTGCTGTGGTCTGAGCAGTGTGGGCACTGTATACAGCAGCATTCAAATCTGTCGACCAATCATGAAGTAGCCAATAAATAAACTATTGTAAAATATTTAATTTTTGCAGGGATGATTCAATGAAAATAAAATCTAGCCAATATATCTTTTTTCCTATGTCTCACATTCAACTCATCAAATATCAGTGAAATTAAACTCCACACAAAACACCCAAAAAGTTATTTCAGCGAAAATTAAAGTAGTTCACAGTGTTTGGAGGGAGATACCATTATAAGAGATAGGGACACAGGGAACAAACTCCATCAATGCTTAGAAGGGTCAGGGTGTCAAACATATTGACACCAAACACCAAAAGTGATTTTGTCAAAGTAGTCTACTTCCCAGTATTGATGTAAATTCTGTAACTAAATTCCATATATAGAAGACAATCTGGGCATGACTTACTGTCCTCTACAAGGTCCCTGTCGTTTGTTACTGGCCTGTCTTGAGTGATGACTCTTAGGCACTGTGCTTCATCTCGGCTGGTGTACTGTATTTGCAACTGGAACGGCAATCTCTCAACTCCTTGTAAAGCACTCTGTTGAGCATCAGCAACACTAGATGATGATACATCATACAAAGGCTTATCTAGAACAAGAACAAAGTTATTTTTATAGTTTCTCACAGAAATATTTCACTATTTGTCAGTGTTTGTGTCACACATCAACTCATCTAGCCAATGAGAGCATGTGTAACATACCACTATCAGCTCATCTTGTCAATCAGTTTGTGTACCAGACCACTATAACTGATCTAGCCAGTCAGAGCTTGTGTAACACACCACTATCAGCTCATCTAGCCAATCAGAGCTTGTGTAACAGAGCTTGTGTAACACACCACTATCAGCTCATCTAGCCAATCAGAGCTTGTGTAACAGAGCTTGTGTAACATACCACTATCAGCTCATCTAGCCAATCAGAGCTTGTGTAACACACCACTATCAGCTCATCTAGCCAATCAGAGCTTGTGTAACAGAGCTTGTGTAACATACCACTATCAGCTCATCTAGCCAATCAGAGCTTGTGTAACATACCACTATCAGCTCATCTCGCCAGTCAGAACTTGTGAAACACACCACTATCAGCTCACCCAGCCAATTAGAACATGTCTTATAAATACAGTTATTGGAAAAATACTGTATCAGTACATATCATGTTCTAAATGCATTTACTTTTGAAAAATAATGATTTAGAACTTGGTAATTATTCATAATGTTGACAAAATTAATATATTTTCTTGAAGTGTCAAATACTTACTAGCAGCTGCACCAGCTTCTACAACTGTACCACCTTGGTTGTCATACACCACTAGAAAGTCAAATAAAAAAATACAATAACAGACCAATCATAATCCTCCATATGGCACACATGATTTATTTTAACCAATCATATTTGTCCATAGATTAACAAAACTTGGAAAGAAGCACATTAACAGTCCAATCATAATCCTCCATATGGCACACATGATTTATTTTAACCAATCACACTTGTCCATAGATTAAAACACTTGGAAGGAAGCACATGAACAGTCCAATCATAATCCTCCATATGGCACACATGATTTATTTTAACCAATCATATTTGTCCATTGACTTGTACATTGGTTGAGAGGAAGCACATCAACAGTTGATCAAAATTGTACAACCCAATGTGCATATCTCACACTGTTTTCCCACGGACACTGAACAATCTAGGTTTTTGACATTTAGGTCTTTCGTAGTGAAATCCAAGATTTATAAGGTATTGGCATGCAAGTGTTGGTTTGAATTTTATGTGTTAAGGTTGGGTAGCCAATCAGACACAATCTTGTAATAAGCGTCACAATGACCCCACAACAACTGAATTACACAATGTACATGAAACCTACCATTTTGACCTGCTCGTTGAAGATCTGATTTCTTTTTTACCCCAAACTCAAACGTGATCTCAGTTTCTGCAGTAACATTACCAATTGTTCGATGTGCTTGACTTTCGTGGGGACCAGTCTCTTCGTTTCGAAAATACCTGAAACATTTTTACAAACAGACATTCAGGGATGAATTTTTTCACTTAAAATCAACATGAACTTTTTATAAAGTTGAAATGGCAATCAAACCCCAGTCACAATGCATTCGCAAATGACTACCATTGTGACAGAATTCTACAATGGTCAATTCCACTTTTAACACAAAAAGTAATTTTCATTGGTGCTAAAAAATAAATCTGCAATTTAACACCCTGTAGCAACTTTTAGTGACGACACTACTCATCATACTCAAAATTTATTTGAAGTGTTTTGAATAAACATCATGAATATCTTTGTTCATGTAAATCAGCCATGATTGTTAGAATGACACATTGGATTATGGGTAGTGGCCATTATCAAAGTGTCATGAAAGTACCAGCACCATTAATAACTGCCACGAAGGACAGAATTATGGAGCTGTGGTTATTCTAATTCAGTGTGCTAGCTGGCTGTATGTTAAAGTGTTAAGACAGTGTCCAAGTAAAGCCTGTGCATAAACATTTACAGTCACTGATACATAACAGTGGCTGACAAGAATTTATTAACAAAGGAAGTCTGCTCGTGAACTTGGTTTTTAAGAAAATCTTGACCAATGCGCAAGTAATCATTATAAATTTGGCATACAGTCAGTGCTATGATATTCATAGTTGTTTATTGCAGAAGAATGGATGGGTTTTTGATTCTGTAATAATGAAATATGTGGGTTCACTAAATCTCTTGTCAGAGGTCTCTTGACAAAATTTAGTAAACAAACAAATTGAATGTAATCTACATTCAACCAATATAGAACATGCCTTAATGAAGCGACTGTGGCGCCTTTATAACACTGACAAGACTCTCTCACTGTTCTCCCTAGGATACAACCAGCATGGCGGTATCGCCATAGTAATTTGTTTATATTGCCTATCTGACACTACCACAGACATTATTCATGACTGCTTCAACAATTTATTTCTGTTTATTGTGTGTACATGATTTAATGAGTATTTTACTCATGACATTTTTCATTCGCAATGATTATGCAAATTACACGCAAATGTTATGCAAACAAGTATGCAAATGGCATGTAAATTCTATGCAAACTAGTATGCAAATTGGATACTGCCACAGCGGTTTAAATTTCTGGAAAGCACATTGTCCCTACATTAATATTATGAGTTTATACTATCATGCCATACACAAGATGAAATGGGAATGAATCAGATGAAACTGGTTTTAACTGGTTCAATATGGTTTCATTACACTTACAGTCCTCTATGTAACTGTAATTTAGCTGTAACATTTGTCGCAATAATTGGATCATTCAAAATCAATCCAAACTGATCCTTCAATTTCAATGGGTCAACAATATTGATCTGAAAAAAAGAAAGGATGTTATCAATAAACATTTAAAAGAGAAGACGTACATCACAGATGGAAGACTATTTCACGCCAAGACTTTCTCGTCCAAATTTATCTGCACTTTTTTCTTACATTCTTTAACATTTCTGGAAATGAAACCTAATTTTGGAGCCAACAGACAAAATTTGAGTCAATTTTCAGTTTCAATAAACTTGGCTATTTTTGTCCCAGTCTTCTGAAGGAAGGTGCAGACTATAAATGGGACTATACTGCTTAGAACCAACACCAAGATTCTGAATTGGGTATTGTAGAATACTTTATTTTTGCTTGGACTTAATTTATGCTATCTTCGCTGAAGGAATGTACCTTTTTTCCTATATTTTATATCAGTGAAAATAAATTCCCTACAAAACACCAAAATGCTTTTTCAGCAAAAATTGATTCCAGCTGAAATAAAGTATTTTACAGTATTTACCAAATGGTTTTAAAGTGACACAATCATGACACTGTGTGGTGTTTGATGTGCATCCCATGCACAATATACAACAAGTGTAAAACAATATCAATGACAGTGGAATTGTCAAAACAACATGATATATTGGTTCATTCAATTTAAACTACCTGTCCCCCAGTCTTGTCAGCGACATTGCCGAGTTCCACCATCCTACAATCGGTGCCTTGCAGCGTCAACACAGACACACAGACACTGTAAATAAAAATAAATACAATGAACAATGTCATAATTGAGGTGGAGGCAATTCTCTGTGATATGGAGTGGTAATCAAAGTTATACTCATAAAGAGCATTCATTTTACTGAATAGAAAGTTTTTGAGAATTTTGCAAATCAGAGAAATTCAACAGTATTTCACAGAATTCTTTCCTCTGACTCCCTTAGTACCATATAAGGCATATCCTCTGACTCCCTTTTTACCTTATAAGGTAATTCCACTGACTCTCTTATTGCCATATAAGGCAATTCCTCTGACTCCCTTATTGCCATATAAGGCAATTCCTCTGACTCCCTTATTGCCATATAAGGCAATTCCTCTGACTCCCTTATTGCCATATAAGGCAATTCCTCTGACTCCACTTATTGCCATATAAGGCAATTCCTCTGACTCCCTTTATTGCCAAATAAG